CGCGCGAGCGGCTTGCGTGATCCACCGCGCAAGGTCGTCGCGCAATCGAGTGCAACCCCCCTTCTGATCGTTTCTCCCTGGGGGGTCAGGCGAGTGGAATTGCCTCAGCCACGTCTCGGCCACGCTCGTGGGACTGCCCCCCGCAGGGTTTCAAGGGGGTCGATTGCGCGGGCACTCGCGCGCATGCCGCCCTCGTAAGTTCGCGCGTCTGCCGCGCGAGCGGCCTGCGTGAGCCACCGCGCAAGGTCGTCGCGCAATCGAGTGCAACCCCCCTTCTGATCGTTTCTCCCTGGGGGGTCAGGCGAGTGGAATTGCCTCAGCCACGTCTCGGCCACGCTCGTGGGACTGCCCCCCGCAGGGTTTCAAGGGGGTCGATTGCGCGGGCACTCGCGCGCATGCCGCCCTCGTAAGTTCGCGCGTCTGCCGCGCGAGCGGCCTGCGTGAGCCACCGCGCAAGGTCGTCGCGCATTCGAGTGCAACCCCCCTTCTGATCGTTTCTCCCGGGGGGGTTCAGGCGAGTGGAGTTGCCTCAGCCACATTTCGGCCACGCTCGTGGGACTGCCCCCCGCAGGGTTTCAAGGGGGTCGATTGGGGGCGGGGGACGACAAGGAGAAGAAGGAGGAGCCCCTGGCGGAGGGCCCGACGACGAGCCCCCGCGTGGCCCGCGGTTCTCCGCCGGGACATTGCAGCGGGGAATCCCTATTCCACGCTGCTGCCCTTGATTTTTTGTGAGTTGTCCTCGCTTGAAAAATCCCTGGTGTGTATGGCCCGAAGCTTCAATTAGGTCGGGCCTGTCCCCCTACAAGGGGATTTTGGGCGAAAAATGAAACATATGCGAAACATACTCCAAAAATTATTAAAAATAGTCAAACAACTCGTCCCCCGACTACTCTGTTTTGCTATGTCTGAATATTCATTCCTCCTGTAGAGGGACAGGCCCGACTTCATGTTAATGATTGCCACCGTTCGAAGGGTGGGTGACGGTTTATTTTGTGAGGGGTCCTCGCTTGAGAGGTCCTTGACGTGTATGGCCCGAAGCTCCCACAAAGGGAGCACTGCGCGGATCGAGGATGGTTCCTTTTCAATATTGAGCTCGCGCTTGAGACTTCCTCGAATCTCATGGTACAGGTGTCAAATTGTGCATCAGCTGCACAGATAAGGACGGTCCCCATTCGAAAGGAGGATCTGGATGGCCTACTCGCCGACTTGCCTGACCCGAATTGTTCACAGTCCTGATCACGCACTAGAAAGATTCGAGCCAATTCCTTTTCAAAACGGAGCCCTCGCCAAAATAGCAGGCCATTTTGGTGCTGGTCTTACAGCGGGAGGGCGTGACAAAGAGAACTTCTAGGGAATGACGAGGAGACTTGGAACGGGAGGGTATACTGCAGCATCGCTGATGCATCTTGGGTTTACTCTGGTCCTCCTCCCTCTCCCTCTCCTTCTCCTCCTCCTCCTCCTCCTCCTCTTCTTCATCTTCATCATATTCATCAGCGTCATCATCAGCATCATCAGCATCAGCATCATCGTCAACATCAGCATCATCAGAATCCTCCTCCTCATCATCAGCATCAGAGTCGCCATCATCATCAGCATCATCATCAGCAGCAGCATCAGCATCAGCATCAGCATCGTCATCATGATCAGCATCGCTCATCATCATCCTCCTCCACATCCACCTCCGCCTCCACCTCCACCTTCACCCCGTCCTCCTCCTCCTCCTCCTCCTCCTCCGCCTCCTCCTGAATCAGTATGGCCATCCTCCGCTGCAGAAGGAACTATTATAAAAACAGTCCGAGCATCTCGCTGCCAGGACAGTGTGCACCTGTAGGCCTGGCGAAAAATGTCAGTCTCCCCCTCTTCCGCCCGCTCAGCCCTCCCTTCCTCCCTCCTCCTCTTTTATTTGGGGGGCGGAAAGATACGGTTACGTGTTGTCCCCGGACCTCTCTTGGGGTGCGTTCTGACCAGAACTTCGAGGCGAATCCAGCGGTGACAACGAGGATTCCCCAGGAGGGCCAGGAAAGGCCGAAAACGAAGGGGGACAACACGTATCCGAATCTTTTTCTCCCCCGATCTATTTCCACCTCTCCTTCCCACTCCTCCCCAGACGGACACAAACTGCAGGTGCACGGCATCGAGGGCACCGCAGGCGCGCGGCGTGGCGCCGGGAGCGTGAGACGGCGTGCCACGCAGTGTACATTAATGCAGTCATGCTCTACTTACGAGTGCGCTCTCAAATGACTCCCGCACCTCTGTCCTGGTGAGATCCACCTGTCAAGGTCACTCCTCCTCCTCCTCCTCCTCCTCCTCCTCCTCCTCATCACCATCACCATCACCATCACCATCACCATCATCATCATCATCATCATCATCATCATCATCACCACCATCATCACCACCACCACCACCACCATCACCATCATCATCATCATCATCATCATCATCATCATCATCATCATCATCATCATCATCACCATCATCATCACCATCACCACCACCACCACCACCACCATCATCATCATCATCATCATCATCATCATCATCATCATCATCACCGCTCACCTCCACCCTCCCTCCCAGCTCCAGCCCGCGCGTGAGCTCGACCTGCGTCGCGCCCAGGAGGCCGCGCACCACGAAGACTGGAGGCGAGGCCGCCACGACCGCGCCGTCGCCCCGCGCACGGAGAGGCGGGCCGGCTCAGAACACCTTCGCCCTGGCACAGCAGCGCTGCTACCACTGGGCGAGCTTCTCGTCGCGAAGGGTCGCACCTCCACTCGGGGGGCGCCTTGGGCCGCTCTCGCCCCCGCGCGCCCTCCACGCCGACTACCACCTCCACGTCCGTGCACTCTGGGAGCACCCACCGCACGCTCGCGCCATGTCGCCATGGCGGCAGCGCTGGCTTCCTGGTCTGAGCCGAAACTGGCGAATGCGCGGGCTGTGATTGCGGAGATGGGGTCTGAGGGAGAACCTTCGTTTGTCTTCCCCCAAGCTCGGAGATGGGGTCGGAGGGAGAACCCTCGTCTGTCCTCTCCCAAGCTTCGAGCATAATGGTGCTGGCCGTCTTGACGCAAATGCAAAACATGGAATCTAAAGCTTCCTGTAGAGCTGGGATGGGCGGGGGTGGGTCTATCAATGTACCAGCTGGCCCTTGCACAAATGGCTGAAGTCTTCTTCGGCCGAAAACTAAGAAATGGGTATATCAATGTAACGGCTGGCCATGCACAATGGATGGATGTGTCCAAACACTGCATGGAGGGAGTTTCTCCAACCTGAGTGCGCGATCGAATAAATCACCGTTCTCACTCCTCCCCCTCCTCCTCCACCCCCACGGAGGGGGAGCGGGGGTGGCGTGCAAATGAATAGTGGCCCTGTGGTAAACACATGGAACGCATTGCTTCACATGTGAAAATGCCACCTCATTGCCGGCCATACCAGAGAGCGAGAACACGCGCGTGCTGGAAGACCCACCCCAACCCTAACTGTAGGCAATGCATGGAAACGCTCTTGCCGTAGCGCGAGGAGGGTACGGCAGGTTCGTGCCGTGTCGACCTGGGCGTTGGTCCCTGACGCCGCGAGGATCGTTCAACCTTGAACGATCGGCCGCTGCCGCAACGTCCGATCGTTCAACATCGACCGATTCTGGGCCGCCGGCGGCGTTCAACCTTGAACGCCCGCGCTGAGGTCGCCGCTGGTCGACACGACGCAAACCTACCGTACCAAAACGGACGCAGGGCACTGGGGCATCGAGCGCACCGAGTGCGTGGCGAACACGCCCGCCAGGGCTCCCACGGGCCCGAGCACGGGATCCCCAGCCCACGCCAACCCTTGTCTCAACGGTCCGAAAGCAGAAACAGCACAGTCGGGGCGTTGACCTAAGGAACCCTCAATCAGGAACGGGGCCCCTTTCTCCCATAGGTTGAACTTCGACTTCCCATGGAAAACCTCAGGAAAACAGAAAACAAACCGTAGAACAATCAAGGAACACCGAGCCCCTCCCCAACGAAAAGGGTTCCTTCTTCAGGGCCCCGGCTGTAACACTGTCTTTCCGGTCCGAGGACCCTACCAGCGCGCTACTGCTGAAGAAGTGCCTGGATCTTGCACACAAACTAAACGAACATATATACACAATCTGAACGACGACGCGCGTCTCATTGATACTTACTCGCGCTCTCCCAAAACCGCTCACAATGTGAGCGGAGGCGTAGCGGGGACTGCAGCAGTCCCCACCCAAGTGACGAGTTCTGGTAACCCTGAACCCCACAAACCCAAAGAGGTTACCATCTCTTGGGGACGTGTCTTATCCTTCCGCCGCCTTCCGCAAGCCTTCCGCAAAGACCTTGCTTGGCATGAACGGGAGGCGCGTGAAAGCGACGAGCTTTACAAGAACATGCATTATCCGTGTCTAGACCTCCAACCTCCCCATTCGCGTTCCCCCATGTCAGGTCGACTTTACTTTCCGCACGAGTTCATACGAACCGCACCTCCCGCTAGCGCATCTCGGCATCATCCGTCTCCAGACCCCCGACCTCCCGACTCGCATTCCCATATGGCAGGTCGACTTTACTTTCCGCGCGAATTCAGACGAGGAACACCTCCCACTGGCGCATATCGGCATCATCCGTCTCCAGACCCCCGACCTCCCCACTCGAGTTCCCCCATGTCAGGACGAGTCTACTTTTCGCGCGAGTGCAAAAAAGGCGCACCTCCTACTGGCGCCTCTCTGCATTATCCGTCTCCAAACTCCCTATCTCACCGCGCGCGTCCCCACATGCCAGGTTGAGTTTACTGTCCGCGCGAGTTCAGACGAGGCGCACCCCCCGCTGGCACATCTCGGCAGCATCCGCTCCCAGACGGCGAGAAAGCAAAAGGGAAAACCCTGCGAAACCAAAACGGGGCGGCCCCTTCGGGCCCGGGCAGGCGGAAGGGCCAAAACCCCCTCAGACGCCCAATCCCCCCACCGAGGCGAGACCAGATCTACATACAGAACGCAACTGCACGCCTCACAAGGCCTGGCCGAAGCCCTGAGCCGCCTCGAGCAACCGCAGCCCCTCGGCCAGATCGCCGCTCAGGATTGCCGCCTGGGCCGCCTCGGCCGCAGCCAGCCGCTCCTGCGCTCGCGCGCCAGCGGCATCGGCCTCGAGGCTGCTTTCAGCGCCCTCGCGCCTGGAGCCCGCGCGCCCCAGCCAGACAGCGCGCGCAAGCTCGCACTCCGCGGCCCGCTCGCCGCCGCCCGAGAACTCGTCGCGCAGGAACTGCCCGTGCTCAGACCCGAGATCCTCGAACTCCGAGCCCCCCACGAAGCTGCCATCGCTCTCCTCGGCATCGGGGCAACCTGCAGGGCGGGCGCCGAGGGCGCGGGCCTCGGCCAAGTCCAGGAGCGACTCAACTCCCGACTTCGGCCCCTTGGCCGCACACGCCACCGCCGCCGCCGAGAAGCCGTCCAGGAACGACGGCACGGGCACCACGTTGCTCCCCTCGGACTCGTGCAGCTCCTCGGGGCCTACCTCGGAGCCGTCGGCCGCGGGCGCCAGCGCGCCGCGCTCCTCCTCGGGCTCGCCGCCACCACCGCGCCTGGAGCCCGAGCGCTCCAGCCAGGCAGCGCGCGCCAGCTCGCACTCCGCGGCTAGCTCGCTGCCGCCCGAGAACTCGCCACGCAGGAACTGCCCGCGCTCGGACCCGAGATCCTCGAACTCAGAATCCCCCTCGAACTCCGAGTCCCCCATTAGGCTGCCCCCGCTCCGCCGCGGCCGCCGCGCCGCGCAACGCGCCGCAGCAGCGCGATCCTCCTCGGCCTCGCAGCCGAACTCCGCGATGATCTCCTCCGCCTCGGCGCTCTCGGCGCCGCCCTCGCCGCAGCCCTGCTCGGCCAGCTGCGCCACGCCGAGCCCCTCCAGCAGCGCGGCCCAGCGCGCCCACTCGGGGAGGCACGGCTGGGCGCCAGACCGCAGCGGGGCCCCCGTGGCCGCCGCTCGGGCGCTGGGCAGCCGCGCAGGCGCCTCGGCCACGCACGCATCCAATGCGCACTCAATCGGCGGCTGCACTTCGCAGACGCAGGCCCCCACCCCACACGCGACGGCACACTGCGCCGCGCCGCCGCGCCCATCACCAGGAAGGGGCCCTCCTGGGAAGCGCGGCCCGCGTTGAGCCCTGCGCCATGCCTGCGGCGGGGCGTCTGCCGACGGGCAGCGCTCGGCATGCCGCGCGACGCCCCGCCGCTGCCGCTGCGCCCTGGTTCCCCGGCGTCCGCGGACGCGCGCAACCAAGGCGGGCCGCGCGATGGCTTCGCGGCGGCGGGCCTCCGCCTCCGCGGCGTCGCCGCGCGAACCGCACTCCAGCTGCGCCTGCGTGCTGGCGATGACTTCCTGCGCCTCCCGCAGCTCCCTGTCAAGCCGTCACACCAGGTTGTCCGCCGCCCAGCGGGCCGCCGGGACACCGGCGAGCACCTCCCGCACCATTCTGCCCAAACGCCCGCGCGCGGCGCGCGCCCGAGCACGGCTTGAGCCAGAATGGCTACGGATGTGCTCCTATGTGTTCTGCCATACTCCTGTGTGGTCTGTCGCGCTCCTATGCGTTCTGCCGCGCTCCTGCTTGTTCTGCCGTGCTCCGACGTGCGTTTGTCGGATATGCCGCGCTCCAATGTGTTCTGCCGATCTCCTGTGTTCTACCGTGTTCCTATGTTTTCTGCGTGTTATGCCGTGCTTCTCGTGCTCACGCGTAGCCTGCCGTGCTCCTGTGTTCTGCCGTGCTCCTGCGTTGTGTGCTGCGTGTTCTGCCGTGCTCCTGCGCGTTCTGCCGCGCCCCTGGGTTCGGCGTGTTCTGCCGTGCTCCTGCGTGTTCTGCCATTTACCTATGTGTTATGCCGCTCTCCTTTGCAATCGGTGTGTTCTGCCGTGCCCTACCGTGATCCTCTGTGTTCTGCCGTGCTCATGTGTGCTCCTCTGTGTTCTGCCGTGCTCCCGTGTGTTCTTTGTCTGCCGCACTCCTGCGCGTTCTGCCGCGCGCACGTTTGTTCTGTCGATCTCCTGCATGCTCTGCCGTGGCCCTGCCTGCTCTGTCGCGTTCCCATGTGTGGCTCCACGCTCCTGCATGTTATGCAACGATGATGCGTGTTCTGCCGTGGTTATGCTTGTTCTGCCGTGCACCTGTGCGTTCTGCCGTGTTCCTGTGCTTTCCGAATGTTTCGCAGTGCTTCTACGTGTTCTGCCGCGTTCCTGTCTGTTCTGCCGTGTTTCTATGTATTATGTGTGCTCTGCCGTGCTATTCGTGCTCCGATGTGTTCGGCCGTGCCTCTGCGTGGTCTGCCGTGCTCCTGTGTGGCCCCCCGTGCTGGTCCTCTGCGTTCTGCCGTGCCCCCGCGCGTTCTGCGGTGCTTCTGTGCGTTGGTCTGCGGCCATCCTGCCCATTGTTTCAATATCTCGCGCGGAAATGTCAGAGTTAACATGGAATGGGTCTTCTTAACCTCTTCAAACTGGTTCGGGGATGTCTCAGGCGATAGCCCCATTTCCATAGGTTCGTGAAATTCGCGCCGTTCAGTTGCCGGTGGATGCATCAGGCGAAACGCTTGTTAGAAGGCGATGTTGCGAACAACTAATGGTTGTAAGGATGCATCAAGGGAAATGCAAATGGGGGTTTGTCTCGAGGGCGCTCTTGGAGTCATGTTGGGGCTCGTTTGGGGCGCTCGGGGCCGTCTCGATGCCATCAAAAATCATGCCAGTGCGATGTCACACACATCTGTTGTTTGAGGATGTCCCTAGCGAAATCGTAAGTTTAAGACGGCTGGCTGGGGCCGCCTGGAAGCCCTTTCAGGATCGATTCCAAGACGATGCTAGAACAGCAGATCCCAAATCGATATTGTGGTGTGTTTTAAGTGTTTGAGGATGCCCCTTATCGAAATCGTCATGTCCGGCAGTCTTCAGGGCGCCCTTGGTGCAATATTGGGGTCCTTTTTGGGCTATCATTTCTTCATTTTGAAGCACTTCAAGAACAATGTCAAGACGATGCTGTGAACATCTCATGTTCTTGAAGATGTCCCCAGGGACATGCAAACCTGACCGGACAATAACGGGAAGCGTCATTTTGCGCCCTGGGCTTATATGGTATCCCACGTTCTGAGTATGCGTTGCGCAAGTCTGTCGTAACGCGCGTGCGCTTGCGCGTGCGCGTGCGTGCGTGGAATATGTGCATGTGCGCCCGTGCGTGGTGGTCTGCGGCACTGCTGCGTTGTGCCGTGCTGCTCTGCCGTGCTCCTGCGGTCTGAGTGAGGGTATGTTGCCTCCCTGTGAGTGCGCGAGTGAATGTATGTCTGTGTGCGTCTGTATATGTATGCGTTTGCGTGTGCGTGTGCGTGTGCCTTTGTGCGCGTGCAAGTGTGCGTGTGCCTGTGCGTGCTGCTGTGTGAATAGATGCTCGGGGCGTTCTGCAATGTTCATATGTGTTATGCCGTGATCCCGTGTGTTCTGCCATGGTCCTGCGCGTTCTGCCGCCGCGCTCCTGTGTGTTCTGCCGTGCTCCTGCGCGTTCTGCCGTGCTCGTGTGTTCTGCCGTGCTCCTGCTTGTTCTGCTGTGCTACTATGTGTTTTGTGTAATCAGCTGCGCTCCTGTGCGCTCTGCCGATCTTCTGTGTGTTCTGCCGTGCTCCGATGTATTCTGCGCGTTCTGTCGTGCACCTCGTGCTCCTGCGTGGTCTGCCGTGTTCCTGTGAATTCTGCCGTGCTACTGCGCGTTCTGCCGCGTGCTCTGCCGTGCTCCTGCGTGTTCTGCCGATATCCTGTGTGGTCTTCCGTGTTCCTGCGTGTTCTGCAGTGCTCCTGTTCGTTCTGCCGTGCTTGTGCCCGTTCTGCCGTGCCCCCATGTGTCCCGTGTGTCCTGTCGCGCTCCTGTGTGTTCTGCCGATCTCCTGTGTTCTACCGTGTTCCTATGTATTATGTGTTCTGCCGTGCTCCTCGTGCTCCTACGTGTTCTGCCGTGCTCCTGCGCGTTAAAGTTAAAGTTCAAGTTAAAGACGGGGCCTTCAAGGCAAGAGGGGTGAGAAGGAAAGGAAAGGGGGCTGGGGGGCCCCAAGGGGCACCGAGCGCCACCCGAGACACGCCCTTCCGAGAGGGGCCGCCTAGGGCCGCCTCTCCCCGCGGGGGCCCCACTGGGCCTCCACCGCGGCCGCACCAAAAGGCGATAACAGATCTACATACAGAATGCAACTGCCCGCCTCACGCACTACTCTTGGGCCGCGTCGCGCAACGCGCACGGACCAAGAGACCATCGAGGAGCCGCACACGCTCCTCGGCATCTGGACAACCTGCACTGCCGAGGCGGACGCCGAGGGCGCGGGCCTCGGCCCAGTCCAGGAGTGACTCAAATTCCCGACTCCGGCCCCTGGGCCGCGCACGCCACCGCCGCCACCGAGAAGTCGTCCAGGAATGAAACGAACCCGCGCTCCGAGCCCGAGTGGCCATCGCCCGCGGTGCAGCCGACGGAATCCGCGACCAGGGGCTCCATGCCGACGGCGTGCTCGATGGCCGAGCCTCCCACGGGCCCCATCCACGATGTCGTCGCTGACGACGCAGCAACCGCCCAGGTGCGGCACGACGTCGTCGGCATACTCGACGGGCCCACGCGTAGACGGCCTCGAAGAGCCAGCATCGCTGGCATCAGCCTTACCGTCCACGCTGGCACGACCGCCAGCACCACGCTCTGCACGAGCATGTCCCAAGACGGGAGGCAGCGGCGCACAGTCTGCCCTGTCCGCAGGAGCCAGGGGCCCGCAGCCCAACGCCTCGACCACCGACTCGGCGGTCGCCACGCAGCTCCGCAAGCTGAGGGGGACGTACGGCACGACCCCGCCCCGCAGCGGCGTGCGCCGCGACCAGCACGGCAGGGCGCCTGACCGCCGGCGCGCCCGTGGCTCCGCGGGATGGCAGAGCTCCGCGGCGGGCTCGGCGACGCAGACCTCGACAGCGACGTCGCTCTCCCACACCGCGCCCACGCTCTCCAGCTCGTTCTGCCCCGTCTTGCCCCCGAGCCCCGCCGCCAGGCTCCGGTCGAAGGCAGAAAGGCCCGAGCCGTCGTCGCCCTCGCCGTCGCCAATGCTCGGCGCGGGCGAAACCTGCACAGCCCCTGCAGCCAACTGCGCCTCGAGGTCGATCGCCAGGATCGCACCAGGAGGAAGCAGCTGCGTCGCCTCGGGCACGGGCCGCAGCCGCGCCTGCCCAGGCAGCGGGGCGTGCCGCGCCCAGCTCCCCAAGGCGAGGCCGTCCTTGACCCCGAGGACCCGCGCGGCCGCGATCGTCTCCCCGAACTTGGGAGCGTGGGCGCCCACGCGGTCGGCGAGCTGCCAGTGAGCCTCCAGGGAACGGCGGAGGGCGGCCGAACGCCACGCCAGCGCGGCCGCCCGCGACTCCCCGATGGCACGCCGATGTTCCCGCCGCAGCCGCCGCGCAAGCGTGCGGGCGGAGGCTGCCGCCCAGGCTGCCCCGCATCCAGAATGCCTCATGGCCGCTAGCGAGCGCGCGCGCCCGAGGGCATGCCGCCAGCCAGGCTCGCTTGAGCCAAAATGGCTACGGATGTGCTCCTGTGTGTTCTGCCGAGCTCCTGCGTGTTCTGGCGTGCTCCTGTGTGTTCTCAAGCGAAAAAGACAGAATCAACTCGCGGGCGGCACCTTGAAGCCTAATGTAGAGACGATAAGCGAAACGGATGAGGCATCCTCAGGTCACGGTGTCCCCGAGCCCAACCGTTTGAGGCTGTTTCAGGCGATATGGGCCAGACCACCTGTCGCGTAGCGTCTGGGAGCCCAGAGTTACGAGGATGTCTCAAGCGAAACGGGGCAGCCCATGTCAAATCTGGTTGTCTCGGATCGCAGACTTGTGAGGGTGTCTCATGCGGAACGGGCCGAATCACCTCAGCATGTTGTCAATGTTTCGACGCGCGGGCCCCTCGGGCGGCATCTGTTACCGCCACAATGCCCCCCGGCACCAGCGGCGACCTGGGAACACTCCAAGACAAAACACAAAAACAAACGAGAAGTTCCCATATGGGGAACCAATGGCGGAGGGGATGGGCGACGGGGGGGGCGATGCGAACGAGGATGGAGACGAGGAGGGGGTAATTCAAGCGTGGGAGGGCGAGTGTGGGAAATCATGCGTGCATTCATAAGCACTAGTGTACCTTGTTAGCTGGGGAAAACAACAACTCATGCTTAAGATAACTCTCACGGATCCGCGGTAGTGGCGGCGACTCCGGCGCCGCTCCTGGAAGGCTCGACGCGCCAGGGAAGGGGGATCCAACATAGATCCAAGATATCCGCGTGGACAGCTGAAAATTTGTGATCATGTCGTTTCTTCCGATCCAGGAAAAGGTGAGTCCATTTTGTGCAGTGCTTCACCCTGGGTCCGTTTCTGGCGGTCCTGGGGCCCGAAAGCGGCCCAGGAACCAGAAAAAGGCAAAACAAAAATCCCGAGCCCAG